ATATATATTAACCTTAACTTTAGCGCGAAGTTAACGAAATAGCATACCGGTCCCGTTATATGACTTCTTAATTTGCATAGTAACTTGTAAATTGGTTCTCTACTTCCAGTGTTTACATAATTGTGGGTTTATGGTGAAAAATGATTGGAATTTCATACTTGTGACTTCTAAAAATTAGTCTTAATCTACCTATAGGGTTTAGATTACACAAAATAGAAACATACATATAACAGATTACATGGTAAAGGAACACCAATACTTACACGAAATGAAATTTACATTATTCACAAACGATGGAAACATCTGTTCACAGTTCCATGGCTGGAAGTTTTCTCCACCGTGAAAGGAACGGGACAGACCGTTTACGACGCCTGGAGTGCCGGTCCTGGTGCACCTGTCCGCCACTTCAGGTGCCCGGTTGTAGAGCATTGGGAATCGCTCAACATCCAGAGGGTAAGTTTCTCCTTATTTTGTTTTGTTTGAATTGTCGCATACCAATAGTTTGGTAAAAAACGACAACATAAGTGTAACTGATCATTTTGATGTAAGACAATCGTGCACAACTTTCGTTGTATCATTATTTTTGTGTATTGTCATCAACTATACTCTAGGGCATACCATTAAATGTAATTAAACTTAGGCTTGGATTGAAGCATTCAAATTTGTTCTCAATACGTGGAATTAACTATTACTTAACAAGGAAGAACTTTTTGTCGAGAAATACAATTGCCATCTTTTGCAGGTAAAAGTCGTATTGGAGTTTAACTCCACCGGAAATGTAGAGCTCATTTTTAATGGGACAAACACAGACAAGTTCAGCTGGTTCTCCAGGTCTCTTCTGCTCTCATCTCCTTGGAACGACATCAACACCGAGACTCAAAACTTCTTCTCGATCAGAGGAGCCCCACAGTTTAAGAGGTAAATCTTGCGCCTTGTAAATAAACTTCGTACCGTATTAAGGCCTATATGACGTATAACTTTACGACGTCCAGACTAATAGGATTAATTGTGTTAATTGATACACGGCTTTCCTTGTTGCAGGTCTTTTTACATCAATCGTAACTGGGGTGGTTGCCCCAATGACGCTGGTTGGCTTGTAGTGGCCGACGGCGGTCCGCACGAAATATGCCCATGGGAGCAAGTCCCCGAAGATCAGCTGCCTTACATCCGTTTTTCTAAAACTTCAGGCTACGCTAACTTTAACGGTGCGTCCACTAATTAACTATCCCTATTCGTGTCCGTGTCTAGACTGGCAATTGTTAGGCTGACTTTTCATATTTGGCAATTATTTGGCAAGTTTTATGAATGCAATGATTTCATCTATCGCTGACCAAAACATATGGAAAATCGCTATCTTTTCACTTGTGTATATCCACTGCTTTAAGCATGTTAGGACAATCACTTAAGACGAAAACTTAAGACTTCCTGTTTGATATCCCATATAATTCCATTATTTTACTTTATTCAGGGGACGATATTGCAACGGCCGATCGGATGGTCATCTACATCGACACGCCCGGAAACAACGTGCTGTGCTCCTGCCCTGATGGACAATCTCTTAGTGAAGATGGCACCCGCTGTGGTTAGTGTTATTATCGTTTGTTGACAGATATGGTGTCTTATTATACCAATGGTTTGTTATAAGCATTCAGGCGGTATTTATGGTATAACTTCCTGTGTTTCTGTCGCTTGTCCTGAACATGCAGCGGTCTTCATTTTGTGGCAGGTGTATCCTAGCTGTCTAGCAGCTAATGTTGTAACTACAGGGGGCGTTTCTCTTACAGACATTTTCTTTCAAAGAGGTTAAATAATAAAATCACAGCAGATATTCATGATTAGGGGTATGCGGGACCTTAGGGGAGTTGCGTGGTTATAAAATTACTACCCTACATTTTGCTCCCCGTTGCTTGGTGATCGTTCTAGATGTGCAAAGAAAAAAGGAAGGGGGGATTGTAGTATTTGGAGGAATAAGAAAGTTCACTTGGTAGCTAAGCTTCTTTTGGTCTTATCGTGTCGTTTTAAACAGCTTGCCCAAGAGACAATTTGTGTTCATCTTTGAAAGACAGTAGTATTGTTTTTTTGCAACATGTGCTAAAAACCCACCTTAGATTTTCAAATAGATAGTGTCAGTGGATGTATACAGTCAACAGCATTATTTAATACTAACAGTTAGTTGGTGAATGACATGTTTTGTTAAGCCCCCTATTCTCGTTACCTTTTTACAGTGTGTCCAATAGCAGACTACGTCAGTTTTGACGGAGTTTTCTACAAGGACTTTGCTGACCCAAAGCCGTACGATGTGGCTAGTCAAACGTGTGCCGCGGACGGGGGACTGCTAGCCATGCCGAAGAACGACGCGATCAGCACCTTCATCTACAATCTGGGAGGAGCTGAAGTACGCTGGATTGGTCTGACTGACACCGTGAACGAAGGGCAGTGGGTATTCGCAGACGGCCAAACCCTGGCGTCATCCGGCTATTCCAACTGGTACCCCGGTGAACCGAACAATTCTAACGGGGGCGAAGACTGTGCCGTGGCCAATTTTCGATCCACCGACGAATGGAATGATGAACAGTGCAGTCTCCCACAGGGATTCATTTGTCAGTTAGGTATGTCTATAATTGAAAGCAAAAATATCCATTAATGGTCTTTTCCTAGATAGACAGCAAGGTAGCAAAACGCGATCAATTGATTAATTCATATCGCTGTATATACTGGCTTACCGTGTCGTTTTTAACAGTATGCACGGATGAAAAAGCGACCTGCACTGCATGGGGAGATCCGCACATCACGACGTTTGACGGAAGGGAATACGATTTCCAGGGTCCGTGCAGATACACGTTCGCCGCAAAATGTGGAAACAGCAGTGATTTTACTGTTGAAGTACAACAAGTCCCATCACCCTGGAACCCAACCGTTTCATACGTGCGCGAAGTTTACGTGTTGGCATACGGGTACGAAATCGCGATTGGCCAAGGCAAAGTTGTGACGGTTAGTGGGTTTATTACCTTCGGGCACGAAGGCATTGCTTTGGGTGTGTTTGTCAGTGAGTGTGTTTGTAAGCGTACTTGTGTCTCTACAGTTGGGTGTGAAGGGGGGGGGGGGATTCCCCACGCACAATAAAAAAGGTCAGACACGGAAAGATAATGTCTCAGGGACTGACAAGGAACCAGCAGGAAATTGGCAGTGAGAGTGTTGGCTTGGTACCAGTGGGAAAACATTTAAAAATTAGATAAGCGAAGTTCACAATTATAATGAATAAGACGAGGAATTCACAAAAACCTAGACCCCTTGAAAGTACAACAGACCATCTCTCTGGTTGTGCCGATCGAGCCACACAATTTCCAAAAACCTTCCGGGACATATAATGGGTATTTTTCTGCAAAAGCACGTGTTTGATTCATGTTGAAGTAAATAGTTCGTGGAATCGTTAAAGTGTGGACAATTTTAGTATGTAGATTCCTGGTAAACGCTCTTCACGCTAAAACTGTTTGGCAAATGCATCACTGGCAACATAGGATGTCCCAAGATTTGAGATAAACGTCGTTTTTAACAATTTTGTTGCGCTACTTACCATGAAATCCGTAAAAGAAGGCTGAGGTGATTTGGCCATATTCAGAAAAGACCCCAGATTTATTTGTATACGGTGCCTACCACCAAGACTGTGACAACTCCAAACCTAGATGAAGATCCCCGAAAAAAAGGCGGGACAAACTAGTTAATGATACTGGATAGTCCCTCAAGTTTGCAGAAAAAAGGCTAAGGACCGTGTTGCCTGGAGGGAACAAATGAAGAGGAGCAAGGGGCCAGTTCTGGCTTGATCATTTAGGCAGGTAGGCAGAACTTACCAAGCTTCGAAAATTAATAACAAACTGCAATGTTTTCCTCAAGGTGAAAGGGCCGCCACCAATGGCTACCGTCACCACCACGCCTCCCTTCAGCCAAGCAATGGGCAAGATCCAAGTCACACTGAGCGGAAAGTTTGTCCGAGTAGAGTTGACAGTATTGTGCGTGGTGATTCTCTACGATGGGAAGGAGACAGTTGAGGTCAGTACATTTCAGATAGCTTATGACTATTGTCCATTTGGCACGGTGTACAGTTGAAGTGATTCTAGGGTCTGGTATGGTGTTCACACTCAGCTTTATCGATTCCGTATTGTTGTGTTTAGACATCTATAGTGATTTTCCCTTGTAAAAGAAAATCGAAAATCGTGATGTACAGTAACTAACCAGTATAGCTGTCATTAACTCAAGGTCCTTATATGCTAAGTAGAGATCTTAGGGAATACATAAATAACAATGCTTATATAACGCTGCTACAGGTGAAGATTCCGAGTAGCTACCAGAACATGATGTGTGGACTGTGCGGGAACTACAACAACATGGGGACCGACGACCTTGTGATGCCGAACGGAAACATCGCCTCCAACGTGAACGAGTTCGGGAACAGCTGGGAGACCGACAGCAATACGTATGTTATGTTTGCTTTCTAAAAAGGGCTTAGCCCAGGAAGTTCCCGCGCATAACAAATGTTAGAAATGTACGTAGTTCAATACAGGTTATCTTTAAAAAGGCTATAATTACCGTCCATTTACAAAGTCTTTCCATGATTACGACGTCACATTTTCTGCCCACTTCAGTTGTTATGGTGACCGCCCTACCGGTGAGCCCCCGACCCAAGGACCGTGTAATCCGATCTACTCGGACCCGTGCAACGTGCTTACAGACACAAACGGCCCGTTTGCTGTTTGTCATGGCGATGTGGATCCTCAGATTTACTATGAAAGCTGCGTCTATGACACATGTGCGACTCGGGGCCGGGGCCTTTGTGCGAGCCTTGGGTCATACTACGACGCCTGTATTGGCACCGGCGTTTCTCCATTCACTTGGCGGTCTTCTGACCTCTGTCGTAAGTTTTGTTTTCAGACTCAATCTAATGTTATTCAACTTTTATGTGTTTCAAACCTTCTTACACATCTATCAAGAAAAGACTTGACGATAAACCACCATTTCGCAAACTGTGCCTGAGACTATGAACGAATGGTTTATTGTTGATGACATCGACAATGTATTCCCTGTTGTAGATGGAGCTGTAGTTCTATATTCCTAACATTGCAATTTAACAGCGAGAACAAACTCTTTGTCTTCGACAGCTATGAATTGCCCGGCAAACAGCACGTACTCATCATGTGCAACCGCCTGCCCTGCAACCTGCGCGAACCCCAACCCAGGCAACTGCGAGGCATGTTATGAAGGCTGTGAGTGCAATCCAGGCTACGTGCAAAGTGGACTGGACTGCGTACCTCAAGCGGACTGTGGTTGCACCGACAAAGATGGATACTACCACGCGGTAAGTGTGGTTTATTGTGTATGACAAAGTATCCTTGCTGTAAGTCATTACCCTCAATATTACAGCTGTTACTTACAATTTTTCGATGTAACATTTGATTAATTTATATGATTTCATTTGCAAAAGACACCCAGCATGAGTAACCTTGCATCAAATAAGATGGATTAGAATGTAACTTCCAAGCAGGCAGTGGTGCTGTACTACTATTTATACTGTTGCTTTAGCTAAACTTATTACCATTTCACGGAATTCTAGCTCGGAGCAGTCTGGGAATTAAGTGGTGATCAATGTCAATGCCATGCAGGAAACACGATCTTCTGTAAAGGTAAGAGAGTTTGAAAAAATAAAACCGAGAAGATAATTAATGTAATGTTAATCAAAGGTTTTTTTGGTACGATTGAAAAAAGTGTATCACAGAGGTATGAATTCCTCAACTCATTTCATTTTTTTCTATAAATAGAAAAAAAGATATACTACGTAAAAAAATCTCATCAGTGTTCTAAAAAGCTAGCTAGCCAAACGTAGTCAATTCATGTCGCTGCATTTACACCCTTACGTTACAATCCTGTCTTTTTTAACAGCGTGCACGGAAAATGCGACCTGCATTGCGTGGGGAGATCCACACTACAAGACGTTCAACGGAAAGTATTATGACTTCCAGGGTCCATGCAGATACACGTTCGCCAAGGACTGCGGAGACGGAGGTGACTTCAACATAGAAGTGCAACAGGTTCCAAATCCCGAGAACCCATTCGTTTCAAGTGTGCGCCAAGTGTACGTGTTGGCATACGGGTACGAAATCGCGATTGGCCAAGGCAAAGTTGTGACGGTAAGTGGGTTTATTACCTTCGGGCACGAAGGTGCTGTTTTGTGTGTGTGTGTGTGTTTGTCAGTGAGTGTGTTTGTAATTGTACTTGTATTTTATTGGCTATGTGTCTGTACTGTTGGGTGACGAAGGAAGGAGGGGGGTCCCCAAGTACAATAAAAAGGAAAGATAATGTCTCAGACGCTGACCGCACGTAGAAAATTGGCATTGAGAGTGTTTGCTGGGTGGCAGTGGGAAAATACATAGAGGTAGACAGAGGAATTCGCAAAATTGAAAAAAAACAAGTCATTCACTAAATCCCAGACCTTGAAAGCACAACAGACCATCAATCGAGCCACAAAATTTCCAAAAACCTTCCGGAGGTTTAAAATCTCCGACTTCTTGTTGTTCCTGTCCGGGATCTTCCCTCAAAAACATTAATTGAATGGCACATCATTATAACAGTAACTGATCAAATTGCACTAATGGTATATAACAACATACAATAATGATTGTCATTAGATAAGAACAAATAGTTTTTAAGTAACGCTAATTATTTTTGGTGTCGTAACACCTTAAATGAAACATAAAGGTTCTAATGCTATATTATATCACATCACAATAGAGGGCTATACAAGTTACTCCCTGCAAATGCAGATTGTTTGATCCCTGTGGAAGTTGATAGTAAATTGTTTCGGAAATCGTCAAGTTGCAGACAGCTTTAGTGTGAAGATTCCCGGTATACGGTCTTCACTTTTGAAACTGTCCGACAAAGTGCATCGCTGGTAATGTTTAAACAGTTTTTGAAACATATGATGTCCCAAGATTTTAGATAAACGTTGCAGTTAATTATGTTGCGCAACTTACTCCGCCTCTTGATAACGCATTGCAACGTTTTCTTCAAACAAGGTGACAGTACCGTCGACCAATAACGCTATCCCCGCCACGCCTCCCTTTAGTCAAGCTATGGGCAAGATCCAAGTTACCCTGAGCGGCATCTATGTCCGAGTAGAGTTGTCAGAGTTGTGCGTGGTGGTTCTCTACGATGGAGTTGACAGAATTGAGGTAAGCACATTTCAGACAGAACATGAGTGTTGTCCATTTGTGATGTGCAGCTGTAGTGATTTTCCATGTTCTGCACAGTCAGCTTTATCGATCCCGTATTGCTGTGTTAAGACAGTTTGAGCGCTTTTTGCTTCTAAAATGATGTGGTGCTGTGCAGAAACTAATTCAAATAACTGCCATCAATTCAACAAAACAAGATTAAAATCACTGTATGCTTAAACAGGCATGGGGAGAAATACATGTAACTCCCATATGGCACTGCTACAGGTGACGATTCCGGCTAACTACCGGAACATGATGTGTGGACTGTGCGGGAACTACAACACCATGGGGACCGATGACCTTGTGATGCCGAACGGAAACATCGCCTCCAACGTGGACGAGATCGGGAACAGCTGGGAGACCGACAGCAATACGAATGTTATGTGGATACAAACTATGTTAATTGAAATATTTTGAAATACTTTGAAATTGGAAACTACCGTAACGTGTTCTTTCATCAGTTGTGTCCATGATTATCAATCTGTGTTAACCTTTACAACTGACGTACTAAATATCATCAAGATGCATCCCTAACTTCACGAGGTATGCATATCATGATGCTCACAAGCACACAAAACACAAATCCCGTAAAACATAGCCTTAGTGAATGAAATAAATAAAACTTTTCGATATGTCTAGTGTCTTTATACAAACACTCGACTGCCCATTAAGGCAGTATTTGCTAACTTTTATTTGTAGCTCTGGGTCGTTATACGATGTAATCGGAACAAAGCCTTGACAATACCCCGAAATATACCGCAGTGCAATTATGCAGTGCAGCCCCAACGGCTGATTAAACTGTGGGAGAGAGTGAGTACGTGAGTGAGTTACAATGGAGTGGATTGTAAATGGTGTTTTGTTTTGGAATTCTATACAGTTTCCCAAAATATAAAATTACGAGAATTATATTATAGGAATCTACTGTTCTACTTTACAATTTTGACGTAATGTAGTTAATGACAGTTGCAATAATCGATAACTAATGTGAGAACTTTACGCTAATACTCTTTATATAATTATTTAAAAAATCTATAATTCCGTGTTTCCATGATTGCCTTGACCTTATCTGTCCACCTCAGTTGCCATGCCCGGCGCGGGAAACGTCAGACCCAAGAAGCGTGTGACCCAATTCATTCGGACCCGTGTAACGTGCACAAAGATCCAAACGGCCCGTTTGCTGCTTGCCATGGCGTTGTGGATCCCCAGAGGCACTTTGAAACCTGCGTCTTCGACGAGTGTGCAACGCAGGGTCAGGGAGTGTTCCTTTGTGCGAACCTGGCGGCATACTATCACTCCTGCATCGGTGCCGGCGTGCCCTCCTTTACTTGGCGAACGTCAGAACTCTGTCGTAAGTTCCGTTCTCAGATTCAATCTTTTGATTGTTATGAGCCTTAGACTTTCTTATAGATCCGTCAACTAAAGACTAGACAACCATCCGCCATGGCGCAAACTGTGCCTTAGATTGAACAGATATTTTACTGACAGTGACGACCGCATTGTATTTCCTGCCATGGATGTAGGTCAAGTTCTGTATTCTCAAAAATCTAACACCTGGAATTAACTCTATCTTTGTTGTTTATAGCTCTGGATTGCCCGGCAAACAGCAGGTACTCGTCATGTGCAACCGCCTGCCCTGCAACCTGCGCGAACCCCAACCCAGGCAACTGCGAGGCATGTTATGAAGGCTGTGAGTGCAATCCAGGCTACGTGCAAAGTGGACTGGACTGCGTACCTCAAGCGGACTGTGGTTGCAGCAGCAATGGTGGATACTACCATAAGGTAAGTGTGATTGATATTGAATGGCAAAATATCTTTGCTGCAAGCCACCACCCTGAATATGTCAGCTCGGATTTAAAAGCTGTCTTTGTTTAATATATATTCTTTACTATAGAAGATTGACTTTTATCACGCAACAATGTACAAGGTACAAAGTATGGCAGAAATGACAGAACAAATCTAACAAATCAGTCTACGTAGTACAATACTAGGTGATATGGGATGAAAAGGCGCTTATACAATCATTAAAAGAATTTCTTACGTTTAGACATTCTTTAAAAAACTGTCCTATATTCACAATGTATGGATTGTCAAAAGTCAACAAATATCTGAATTTGCTAGATGAATTCATGGCATATAAAATAGACACACATAATGGATGGGTTTGCGTGGTAAAGATAATTTGTAGATGCAGTTTTTAATGAGGCAGTGGTGTTGTAATTACAATTCTACAGCATGTAGATGTATGCAGGATAATAGTGACATTTTGCGCTGGACATGTCATACTACAGCTTCAGCTAAACTCATTACCATTTCACGCAATTTTAGCTTGGAGCAGTCTGGGAAGATAATGGTGAGGAATGCGAATGCCATGCAGGAAACACGGTCGTCTGTGAAGGTGAGAGAATCAGAAATCCTGAAGCATGCGTTCCTGACCAGGTAGTAGAACGTAACATTTTAACCCAATAGTATGTAGCAAAGTCATTCTAAAATTAATGCAGCTCATTGTTAGTTAGACGTCCATGCTTGCAGTATTCTTTATGAGTAACAGAGAATTTGTCAGTCTATACCGAAAAGGTCCCATAGTGCACGTACTTTATTTGCCATTCTGTAGAAATTGACGGATGCGTTCCCAACCCGTGCGTCGCCAATGCCGAATGCAAAGACGTTCCAGCCCCTGGGACCGGTGCAACTTGTACCTGTGCCACTGGGTATGAGGGAGATGGAGATATAGATGGAGCCGGATGCACAGGTAATAGTTCTACTACATCAAAGATGAAGATGTGCGTTAATACATTGAATGATTAATGTGATAGACATAGAAGATTATACCTCTATGTATTCCTTTCAGCGTTTGTTTGAGAGAGTCCTTATTAGGCTAACCACGCGCCTATTTATGCTACATTACTAATGATTTCAGAGTTGAAATATGTCTGAATCAGCATGAGGATTGAGATTATAGTATGCAGCACTGACAATAGATTGCTGTTGCTCTGGAGTCCAATGTTTCATCATTGTTAAGCAGTATACCATACATTTCCAGGGGGAATACTCTCGGGGCTGACCCTCGTTGATGCCGGGATTGGTCATCTCACCGTTTCCTGGACAGTCGTGGGGAGTCCGGTCTTGCGCTACAGGCTCCGCTACCAGCCAGCAGACGGGTCGGGCTCGTACCAGGACCTCTTCCCCGCACCAGAAATCGGAGTCACCTCGGCAACCGTGCAGGGACTGTTTGCAGACACGGAATACACCCTCACGCTCACTTCTTTTGGCGAGGACGACCAGAAAAACGGGGAGATCAGGGGCACATACACCACAGGTCGGTGATGTGAATTACTGATGCATTGAACGCTGGGCCAAGCAGGGGTTTGTGCTACAGTGCATATAGAGTTTGATGGTGTATCATTGGCCAATGCTTAAACATTGCTTAAACCTCTGGATCAGAAGGTTAGGGGTTCCAATCCAAAATCACAAATTTCCTGCTACCAGGGATTGTAGTTCATTGTATTGTTTTGTAATGTTTTTCCGTTTCGGTTCTCGCATTCAGATGTGCTGCTTGCAGTTCTTTATGTTCATGTATTGTTAGAAGACTTTGTTAAAAAAAGGTGCCATTGGGATTTTGAATGTAACTGTTTCTTAGCTTAGGGTTTGATGCTAGTCATGTAGTTAAAATGGAATCTTCTCGAATTATTCTCCCTGCATACCAACGTGGTTATACATGGTGCAAAGGAAAACAACTAGAGCTGTGTACCTAAACAAATTTTAGGTACAGGTACAGGTACAGGTACACAGGTTTAGGTACAGGTCCGGACCTGAACCTGTACCTGAACAATTCGACCAATTTATATGGTCTTCTGAACTCCTTCAATAACAAAAAAACATAAATAAACTTGATTGTTAAGGTTTATTCTTTGTTTATGGCGAATGCTCAGATAAAATATAGGCAAAACTAAGTGTTTTGTTTTCATGAACACGCTGTCCTTACACAGGGACCCATTGTTAACCACCTTTATACACATTTGAGGTCACAAATAGGCATAAAATTGGTGTGAAATTGTTTAGGTACAGTACCGGTACTGAGGGAGTAGGTATTTTGGACCTGTACCTAATCAATTTTTCCGGTACAGTATCGGTACTGCGTACCGGTACACAGCTCTAAAAACAACATTTTTTTTTTTTTTGCTGTTCCAGATCCGGTTGTGGTGAACGTAGTGTGCAACCAGGACAGTATGAGTCTGTCCATCCCCCGTGCGGCGCTGCCGGCTGTAAATGTGGAGAACCTGCACCTGTTGGACCCCGACTGTGGAGCTACTGAGGACGAAGACGTCTTTAAGTTGGAGACACACCTGCAGGAGTGTGGAACCCGGCAGGAGGTAGGACAGAAAACCTCAGTTCCTCCCAACCTAGAGTGTTGTTAACTCAAGTGGTCATCTTTAGATTTTCTGAGACCTACTGTGAAATGTACCTGTGCACTGTAAAATGGCATCGGCTAAGTGGACCAGGTCCAAAACAATTTGCTTCACTTAAAATTGTTCTGTATATATGACAGGTACCTTTTTTAAGCCAACTGATTTGAGGTTCTGTGCTTTATCCCTTTCAAATTGATGCATCTTTTGGTTGCCGTGTCTCTTATGTTTCCTCAGACCTCAGGAGACGACAAATTCATCTTCTCCAACGAAGTCATTGCCAGCCAAGTGACTTACGACAACGGTGCTGTACGTGGCCAGCCGGTAAACCTGCCCTTCCAGTGCGAGTTCCTCCGTCAGCGCAACGTTTCTGGTGGAGCCATCATGTATAACATCCCCTCTCCTCGGTAGGACCCTGCCTTGTGGCCTAAATATGCTTTATGTTTAACCGAGACTTGCGGATTCGAAGCAACTTGATACGTAGAATACTTCTGACGTACTGCCGAAAGGAACGAGGTGTCTTTAATGACTCTTATATCTTCTTAAACAGGTTTAGATAAACGGGATTGTACCCATCATGTGTGTACAAGTCTACGACTATTGCTCTTTGACAAGCAGTAATTTCTTTTACACACGAATAATTTTAACTATTCTATTCTCCCTTGGTTGAAATTATCGGATTTGAAGTCTGTTAACAATGCAAAGTAGTGAAGGATTCAGGTTTACTACCTCTTTAACCAGTTTTGCAATCTCCTTGCAGAATTCAAATCGTTGACGCGAACAACAGTTTCACCATAGAGATGCATATGTTCACTTCGGAAGACTTTCTTGCAACCTACGAGAGTTCTGATTTCCCGATTAAGGTCAGAAAAGTTTACCTTTCTCCTTACTGACTACTGTCATTCAGTAGTCTGACAATAACACCTAAGGAAACAACAAACCAGATAACGGCCTTGTACTTGAGCAATCTTACAATTGACTGCAGTCGTTCGACCTAATGAACTAAGAGAGAGACTGATCTTACACACCCCAGGTCTCACCATCCGACCGTCTTCACTTCGGCCTGAGCGTGGCGTCACCGCTGGACAACCTGGAGCTGTTCGCCCGTGACTGTGTCTCCACTCCCACCACCAACCCGGACGACTCTCCTAGGGTCAGCATTATCGACGATGGGTACGTGTTTGACTACATTTGCTTAGATATTTGATTACTTAGAACTTTGGTTGTTTGGTTGCGATAGGTGGATAATCTTGGCTGCCTAGTTAGTTAGTTTGCTGCTTGGTTTGTTGTCTGGCTACTAAGTATAATTAGCTGGCTGGCTGGCTAGCTGACCGGTTTCTTGGCTAGTTTGTCATTTGGTTGTTGAAGGTGGCTGATTTGGACTGCCTATAGCTTGTTGGTTTGCTTGGTTTGATTCTGGCTACGAAATAAGTAGCTGACTGGCTAGTTGACCGGTTTCTTAGCTAGTTTGTCATTTGGTTGTTGTAGGTGGGTGATTTTGGTTGCCTATAGTCTGTTGGCTTGATTGGTTTGATGTCTGGCTACTAAGTAACTAGCTGGCTGGCTTGCTGACCGGTTTCTTGGCTAGTTGGTCATTTGGTTGTGGTGGGTGACTTTGGCTGCCTAGTTGGTTAGTTTGTTGCTTGGCCTCTTATCTGGCTAGCTGAGAGTCCGCATGGCTTATTGGCTAGTTGGGTGGAAGCTTTGTTGGGTACCTTGGATTTTTTTTATTATTTGTTTTAATGTTAGTGATACGTTGGTTGGTGATAAGTTGGTTGGTTGCTTGGTTGGTTGGCTAGTTGGTTGGCTGTTTAGTGGTTTGTTTGGTTGGTTGGTCGTTTAGTGGTTTTGTTCGTTGGTTGGTTGGTTGGTTCGTTCTTTATGCAATAGTATGCCTTTTAGTTTACCTTTCAATATGGAAGGGTCTGGCTATAAATGACTTGTTCCATCTGAATCTGCAGCTGTCAGGTTGATGAAACTCTACAAAAGGCCGATGAACTTTCTAACGACAAGGCTCTGTACTACAGCGTGGCCGCCTTCACGTTTCCCAACGCTCTCGACCCCAGCCTGGTAAAATGTCACTTTGTGGTGACTGGTGGGTCGGGAAGATATGGGTGGTTAAATGCTTGGTGATGATTACAGTGGTTTATGCCATATATCTCAATGACAAGCTCTTCTAAAGCACATTTTCATTATATAGCATCATGAGTTTGAGTGCATGCATGTACCAGCACGAGTACATGCATGTACTCATGTACAAAAAACTAAAAGAAAAAACATATGTTCAAAAAGCTTGGCGGAAGTTTGGATCTGGTAACTGCTGTTTATGATTGCAAATGACATATTCCATTATTTCTCAGGTTTACTTCCACTGCACCATGATTATCTGCTTCAAGGACGACCCTGACTCTCGGTGCAAACAGGGCTGCATCCCGCCAGCACGGCGCAGGCGAGCCGTCTCAGACGGGACGGAGGGCAGGGTTCGCCGGGAGAGCAGCAGGGACAAGCAGGCGGACATCACCCAAGGACCGTTCCAGGTGCAGTCCGGAGAAGCAGGAATAGGTAAATGATGAAATACGTTTCTGCGAGCAGTAAGGAAGACGAAAATAATCTATTTTGAGAATGACTGCCCATAAAGCTAAACAAACACATATCTCAATGTGTTCTTGAAATTTGGGTTTCTGAAAATATAGTAGGACATGTGGAAGCATTTTTTGCATTTTGTTGTTCTAGATGCTGCCTATATTGTGCTTGTATTTGGATCTTTGTCTATTGGTGCTTGATGGTGAGAAACATGACAAAATAAAGATCCACTTAAGGCAAACTTTATAATCGTTTCTCTTGTTGCACAGGGCCAGCCGGAGTACCGCTGGGTACCGCGGTGGGAGCGGCTGTTGGAGTTGCCGGGATCATGGTGCTTCTGATCGTGGCCGTGGGTCTGAAGACACGTGGCGGTCTGGCCTTAGGGAGGAAGAAGCGCGATGACGACACTGTCGGTAAGTCCCTGTAGTTTTGTTCTATCACTTTGTGACAAGTTGATATTTGATACCAACTTATAATCAGTATAGTAGATATTGAATCAGTTATTTTGCATCTATATGTTTCATCCAAGAAAGGAAAGTAGATACTGATTAAGCATCTTTCTTGTAAACTGCAAACCACCTTCTGCTTTAGACGTTTTAAGTAAACTCGCAGGTTTCGACTTCTGAAAACTCGTTATTAGAATACTATCCACTAGACAAAGAAGTAAGATTTGTATTCTAGCAGACTGGAAATGCTGAATATAGCGCTCCGTCGATGCTATGTAACTATTACAATAAGTATGCGTGGCCTTAATATGTGTCTGTGGATTGCGGCACCGTTTTGATGAGTGGATTCTGTTTTCTCTGTCAGGACTGGATAACTACGCATACCAGAGTTGGGGAAAGATGAGCAAGGCTGACATTGCTGACACAAAAGCCTAGAGCGTTCTCCTTCCACCAGGACCACAGCTAAACATACAGAAACAATGTACAATTCTTAAGCTTGCTTGTAATCTTGACTAGCCTTCTTAGCACGTTCTACAACTGGGCTCTTGAGGCAGCCTTCATAGTGCGCTTTTTTCCTCTGTCATATCACTTCTATTTGTATCTGGGGGTCTTTTGGGGGCACAGCTAAGGAGGCTAGAGTTTGGCAATATTCGTAATAGAAAATATTCTTCAGTTAATTGACCTTAATCAGCATACCAAGCAGCAGACCAACAAAAGAAAAGACTCCCCGTCTATAGTTAGAGACAGGGTAGGGAACTTTATCTCATACACCAATAGCATAGGCTTTCTTCTATCTAAACTTCGTGAACTTTTTCATCATAAAGAACAGTATAAACTCTTCATATAAAAAAATAGAGATGCTGTAATGGACGTTATCATCATACCAAAAATAGTATTTTCTCGCTTAGTCTCTCTAGCTAAACCAAACCACTATTATAGGCTATCTAGTGACGCTTTGGTAAAGGTATAAAGCTAAACGTTAGCTGGTGGCTTCTTGATGTTCTGCTCGCGCACTGCTAGAATGTGGTTCATAGGAATTCGAAGGCTACATGGCTTTCTCTTACCTTTGAATTGACTGTAAGCCCTGCGTTGCAGTAGATGGTGATTTCTCTTACATTGTACTATTGCGTATGGAAGCCTCCTCTCTTCTAAGCGTATATACAAACTCTCTTTTGCTATTTTCATATTTTACAATATTTATGTTCATATTTACGATATACTCTTTCTTCTATCGTTTAGTAGCTTACTTGCTGCTATACCTGTTATTTGGGGTCGTCTTCTTGTTCTAATCGCGTACTGCTAGATTCTGGTGCAGATTACAACTAGACTTTATCTAAACTTCTAAATTTACAGTAACTGGTGTGGACAAGGTTTAAGGAAGCCTTCTCTCTTCTAAGTTTATATACAAAATCTCTTTTGATTCTTTCTTATATTTCAGAATCTGCTTTGGTCTATTCATTTCTTATATTAATTACTACGCAAAGAAATATCGCGGTGAAAAAATGGGTAATGTGACAATAACTCAATATGCCATACACAGGATTTAATGTGACATGGTTTACTTATCAATTCATATCACCCTTAGAATTGAATCAATAACCCTTACGGTACATCATTTCTATGCCAAATGTTGCATTTCATCCTGCAACTTACACGTTTAAATGGGGGGGGGGTGTATCTGAGAAACCGTTGTCTGTAAAATCTTTCTACACATAACATCTACACCAAAAACACACATTCATTCCGTACATACGGAATAAAGCGGAGTCATGGGGTCACATATCTGTTGTCTTTGTCCTTTCTAAACCATTCACTGACTGTAACACTAGCTAGAATATTCAGGTCCACTTGTCTTGAGACGAAAAAAATTATCAAGACACTGTAATTTATTAATACAGGCAGAACTTTGTTTCAAACTTCTATTTGACTGGCTAAAGATTTTTCGAAAACAAAGCGTACTCCTGGCGAGAATGTTTGGAAGTCCATAACATTCGTATCCCCCGGTACAAATGACGCAATAAGGCTCGTAGTCACTTCAGGCTATTAACATGAAAAACGTGTTCTGGCTCAAGGTTTTGCTGGGCAGAACCTTCTTTTCCTGGCGAAAATGTTTGGAAGTTCATATCGTTCGTATTTCCCTTAGTACAAATGACGCAATAAGGCAGTCGCCAATGAAAATTGGATTATCATGAAAGTTCATCTGTGTTGGTAGTAATCATAGTAAAACGTTGAACTTTATTCCAACACACAATTTACAGAGAGATCAAATTATCAGCGACCACTGTCGCCTTCATCAGGACAGCACTTCATCAGGACAGCACTGCCTGGCACGGTTCTGGACAGTCAGGCTGTGTCCCGTTCTGTGCCCGCTCAGGTACAGAATGACACAGGCACGGTTTGGGACACAGCAACTACTCTGGTCATTGGGTGCTGCCTCTGACTTTTTCACCGTATGATCTGCTTGGAGATTAGGCCTGTACACTAGTTTACATCGACTCCCCAGCTAATTGGCCAATTACGCTCAGCTCACACTACGTCACATTCATTCACCTTGCCTAACTGGCTAATAAATATTCCTTACTGGCGCCGGATGGTACGGAGATATCTGGACGGCCATTAATCTTAAATCTGTCCAATTTTCTCCTCAACTGACACCATCGGTCGTGATAGGGCATTGCGAACAGACAACGCGCCGAGTGGTTGTGAATGACACCTTAAAATCGCACACTTGACTCCTTCGAATCATCACCTTGATATCTCGTTAATAACATAAAAATAAGCACAATGATCAAATATAACCACAGCTTTGTAACAACGACATTGTAACATTTTCACCTTGTCGGTAACACACAGCGGGTACAAGTCTGTATATGACTTGTAAAAGGCCATCTTTGGCCCTGTAGAACAACATAGGTGGTATGATCCACTATTGATAAAATGGTGGCTCACACCCCAACATCTGACCAATCACAACCGTTCATAATATTGACGTTTACACAAATCTAATGATAGTAAGGTATAAACGTTAAGCACACACTTTATATGAAATTTAGTAATGTTCTTTACAAGTAAACTGTTGTCTCTTGATTGCTGTGTTGTAAGATGTAGATTGACAAGATGCACTGTGTTATGTCTTGTGATGAGACAAGGAAACATCCGGAGTTCCGTACATACGGAATAAAGCGGAGTCATGGGGTCACATATCTGTTGTCTGTGCCTTTTTTTTAAACCATCCACTGACTGTAACACTAGCTAGTGTATTCAGCTCCACTTGTATTGAGACGGCAAGACACTTGAAATGACCGAGACACTGTAATTTAGGAATGCAGGTAGAACTTTATTTCAAACTCCTATTTGACTGGCTAAAGATTTTTCGGCAACAAAGCGTACTCCTCCTGGCGAGAATGTTTGGAAGTCCATAACATTCGTATCTCCCGGTACAAATGACGCAATAAGGCTCGTAGTCACTTCAGGCTATTAACATGAAAAACGTGTTCTGGCTCAAGGTTTTGCTGGGCAGAACCTTCTTCTCCTGGCGAGAATGTTTGGAAGTTCATATAGTTCGTATTTCCCTTAGTACAAATGACGCAATAAGGCAGTCGCTAATGAAAATTGGATTATCATGAAAGTTCATCTGTGTTGGTAGTAATCATAGTAAAACGTTGAACTTTATTCCAACACACAATTTACAGAGAGATCAAATTATCAGCGACCACTGTCGCCTTCATCAGGACAGCACTTCATCAGGACAGCACTGCCTGGCACGGTTCTGGACAGTCAGGCTGTGTCCAGCTCTGTGCCCGCTCAGGTACAGAATGACACAGGCACGGTTTGGGACACAGCAACTACTCTGGTCATTGGGTGCTGCCTTTGACTTTTTCACCGTATGATCTGCTTGGAGATTAGGCCTGTACACTAGTTTACGTCGCCTCCCCCAGCTAATTGGCCAATTACGCTCAGCTCACACTACGTCACATTCATTCACCTTGCCTAACTGGCTAATAAATATTCCTTACTGGCGCCGGATGGTACGGAGATATCTGGACGGCCATTAATCTAAAATCTGTCCAATTTTCTCCTCAACTGACACCATCGGTCGTGATAGGGCATTGCGAACAGACAACGCGCCGAGTGCTTGCTTGTGAATGACGCCTTAAAATCGCACACTTGACTGCTTCGAATCATCACCTTCAAACCTCGTTAATAACATAAAAATAAGAACAAAGATAACAAACTAACCACAGCTTTGTAACAACGACATTTAACATTTTCACCTTGTCGGTCACGCACAGCGGGTACAAGTCTGAATATGGCTTGTAAAAGGCCATCTTTGGCCCTGTAGAACAAAATAGGTGGTATGATCCACTATTGATAGAATGGTAGCTCACACCCCAACATCTGACCAATCACAACCGTTCAAAATGTTGACGTTTACACAAATCTAATAATAGTAAGGTATATATATGCAAGCCTCCATTTTGGGATTGGACAGTGAGCAGACATAAACCGACTTCGCTTCACGGACAACATACCTGTAAGTACCTGTCTTTTTGCCATTCTATTCCATTGCAAAACAAATCTGAAAGTATTCCATTGCAAAAATTGAACAACTAAAAATGCTGAAAACGCTTTGTCAAATCTGCTGATTTTTTAGGTAACCGGTTTTGACTTCTTACTGTATCTGCTTATTTAATAGCCTGGCCTTTTTTGCCTACTCTGTGTTTAAAGCTAAGGTCCCAATTGGGAATAGGGGCCCTGGCGGGTAGTTCCCGGGCTGTTTTTTACCACTTTCGGGCGGGAACCCGACGTGGCCCCGCGGGGCACCCTGCGGCTACCGGGCTATTTTTTGGCCCGTCGGGGCCCCGATAAGAATTTAATTCTGAGTTAAATTCTACCCGGGCCCCGCTGACAAAAAGACGCCGTGACCTCATCGTGAGAACACCGAGAGGTACCCCTCCGGTTGCCGGCATTCCACCGGGACACATTTCTTACGTCACAGACCAGATGAACAGAATAAAGGTGTGTACGTCGTAAACCCGGGTAAAATGTGTGACCTCACAGATCAAATGATCACAACAAATACGTGAATTCTGCATTACGTATAGGTCAATACAAGACGTCGTCAGAGAATCTGCTGGGTACCTGCCGGGTGCCTGCCGGAGACCGACCAAATTTTTAACAAAATGCTACTGAAGGAAACTTTTAATTGTGACCACGACAGCCGATGCCCGCTCGACTCCTGAACCCGGCCGGGGCCAGCCGGGGCTACATCCCCGACGGGCACCGGCGTAATTGGGACCTTAGCTTTACCAAGGACGTTCAATCGTTTTACTTTTTCATGAAGTTTTACCACAGCAAAGGGTAAGACAATCCAGGCCTTGTTTTAACGCTATTGTAAACATTGTAGCTGTTTTGTCGCTCCGTAACTGTGGGAA